ATTTCTCCATGATCCAGCGTATGTTGGCAATTTGATGTCTAATTCCTCTGCCTCTTCGAAATCCTGCCTGTACTTCTGGAAGTTCTTGATCCACATACTGCTGGAGTCTAGCTTGTAGGATTTTAAGCATAACTTTACTTGCATGTGAAATGAGTGCAATGGTGTGATATGTTCTGTTTTCTGCTTGGTTCAGCATTGAAGAGGAAGCAATAGAAACAAATACTTCTTTATTCAAGGTCAAAACAGAAAACTAACAAACATGACTCCGCCCATATTTATACATTCAGCTTTGGGCAGCCTCAGCCAATGAATGCACCATATTCTCCCGCTCAAATGCATACTAATCAGTCTTGTAGATGGCAAGTCTAGCTAGCAGGCCACGTGGTCTGCTAACAGTCCCTGCACAGATCTCTGCAACTGTTCCATAAGTTTAACTCAATACATTACACCCCTCCCCCCTGGTTCTTTAACACGTACAAAGCATTGTTTGTTCAAAAATTACACAGTTATTCAAGGCACCCTGACACTCTGCGGTACATACAGTATGCCTGCCATTACACTGGTCAGAATCACAAATACCTAAGCATTTCAGTTACAAGGAAACACATAAGTATTCCAATTTTCCAAGAAACATACATAGCATTTAAGTACATATGCATTCAAAATTTCAAAGGAACATACATAAGCATTTTAGTTTGCAATAAAAATACATAAGCATTTTAAGTTTGCAAAGACAGAAACCTTACGTAGTCCTTTAAAAACTTCAGTGGGCCTTTCTCCCGCTCCGAACATCTCGGAGCTGCTGCTAGCTCCCAATCTGCAAGCTCACCTGCCAGGCTCGGCAGACCGGGGCTGTGTGACCCGTCTGATATGGGTAGAGCCGGTTCGTGAAGGCTGGCCTGTTCTGGTAGACCCGAGCCAGAGTTCCACGGTGGAGTAGAATCCACCGGATCGGCGTAAGAAGCCGATTGAGAGCAATGTCCCATTGGCGCAGTGCCTAGTAGCGGCATGAAAACCTGATTGAGAGCAATGTCCCATGGGCACAGTGCCTGAGTTAGGAGCAGCCTCATTAGCAAAAACCCCATTCGGCAATTGCAAGGTCCCACTTTCGCTGAGCGACTCAGAAGCACAATTACAATTTTGTTCCTCCTCCCCCCCCCCGAGAGCAGAGTAAGGAGCGGAGGAGTGGCTTGGTAACCTCCAACGCAGCTGGTCAATATGCCTGCTAAGCACACGACCATCTTCCAGGGCCACTTCATATGAGAGCGGCCCTGACATCTTACAAACCACAGCTACCACCCACAGTGCCCCTGGTCCATAGTTGCATGCTCAAACCAGATCGCCCACTTGCAAGTACCTTGGTGCCTTAGACTGTGGCACTTGTGAAGCAACCCAGTCGGGATGTAAGTGATCCAGCTTTGTGATCAGACGGCGCCCCCATCTTAATTCAGCTGGGCTCTTGCCGGTTTAAATGCAGGGCGTTGTATGTTGGCAGAGTAGAAAATCTGCCAACCTGTGGTGCCAATTACCGTGGGTAATCCTCTTTAAGGATTCCTTGGTTGTTCTGACCATGCATTCTGCTTGGCCATTAGAGGCCGGGTGGAAGGGAGCCGAAGTGGCATGCCTAATCATATTTGCCCTTAAAAAGGACTGGAATTCAGCAGACGTAAATTGAGCCCCATTATCTGAGACTATGACATCTGGGAGCCCATGCGTTGCAAAGATGCTCCGCAGAACTTGGATGGTCCTGGCAGTAGTTATAGTGGACAATGGAATGACCTCTAGCCACTTGGAGTGACTGTCCACAACAATGAGGAAGAGTTGCCCCTCAAAGGGGCTAGCAAAATCGATATGAATCCTCGACCAAGGGGCTTGTGTGGTCTCCCATCTATGTACAGGAGCATGTGGCATTTCTGGCCTTGACTGCTGGCAAATGAGGCACCTATGGACCTGGGCCTCAATGTCTTTATCGAGCCCAGGCCACCAGAGGTAGCTACCCATGAGCGCCTTCATCCGGACTATGTCCGGATGTCCCTCATGCAGAGAATCAAGGACTCTAGTCCTCAGTGAGGTTGAGATTACTACCCTGCTGCCCCACAGAATACAACCCTTAAAGGTGGATAACTCATGCTTCCTTTTCCAGAAACTCTGAAAATTAGTGCCAGGACATGTTTCAGGCCATCCTATGAGCACCCAATTCAACACGCGGCTCAACGTGTTGTCAGAAACTGTTTCTGCAGCAACATCCCCTGCATTAAGGGGAGATTCCGGCAAATCCTGGATAGCCAGGATGCGGTTAGCTGGAGCAGGATCTGATTCTAATAGTTGTAGAGGCAACCTACTAAGGCCGTCAGCATGGCCCATTTCCTTACCTGGTTTGTGAACCAGGCAATAGTCATAAGCAGAGAGGAATATTGACCACCTCAACATTCTAGGAGAGATAATTTGGGGTGTCTGCTTGTTCGTAGTGAACAATCCTAGAAGCCACTTGTGGTCAGTGAAGACTGTGAAATGGCGGCCATACAAAAAGTCATGAAACTTTTTGATGCCAGCCACAATGGCCAATGCCTCCCTATCTATTTGTGCGTAATTGCGTTCTGCAGCAGAAAGAGTCCTGGAGTAATAGGCTATGGGGACTTGTGTCCCATCAGCACGGAGATGACTTAACACAGCTCCGATCCTGTACGGGGATGCGTCGCATGCGATGCTGACTGGCAACTGCTCATTAAAATGAGCTAACACCGCATTTGAGGACAACAATGCTTTAACTGCAGCAAAACTCCTCTCGTAGACACTTGTCCACTTCCATGGGGCCTGTTTGTCCAAGAGCTGATGTAATGGCTCTGCCACCGCGGCCTTGTGGGGGAGGAAAGCATGAAGAATTTAAGGAGTCCCAGGAAGTCCTAAAGCTCTCCCTTCGTCTTGGGACTGGGTGCCTGCTGAATTGCTTTGAGCTTGGATTCAGCAGGATGAATGCCTTCGGCATCCATACAAAACCACAGGAATTCTGTGGAAGTGACCCCAATTTTGCATTTCTCCTGTTTGAGCTTCAGCCCCGCTTCGCAGAAACACTGCAAGATGGCCCGGAGCCTGTCAGCAAGGTTTTCGACTGATTCCTCAGCTATGAGGACATCATCGAAATATGGGCATACACCCGGAATGTTGCGGAGCACGCGCTCCATCACGCTCTGAAAAATGCCAGGGGCTACATTAACCATGAACTGTAACCATCGCACCTTGAAAGCCCCCCGGTGGGTTACAATGGTTTGGGCCTCCGCCGTGGCGTCGTCCACCAGCAGCTGCTGGTAGGCCTGTGCCAAATCTAACTTGGCAAAAATGCGACCTCCCTGTAGTGAAGCCAAGATGTGGCTGACTACAGGCACCGGATAGGAGTGCTGCTGGAGAGCTTTGTTTAGCGTGCATTTATAGTCGGCACAAATGCGGACTTCTCTGTTGGCCTTAAATGGCGTGACAATGGGAGTTTCCCATGAACTACTGTCCACTGGCTCCAAAATGCCTTGCTGCAACAGTTTGTTCAGCTCTGCACTGATTCTCTGTTTTAGGGCAAAAGGCACCCGACAAGGCTTAATTCTTATCGGCGTTATCTGAGGGTCAAGCCGAAGGGAAATTGGGGGCCCTTTGTATGCCCCTAACTCTGGGCTGAAAACATCAGCAAACTCTTTACACACTTCCGAGAGACTCGACGTTTGCAAAATGTTTAACCCAATCACTCAAATTCCCAAAGCATCAAACCAATCAAGCCCAATTAGGCTAGTGTGGTTGCCTTCAACAACTACGATGTCCAAGGGACCCTTGAAGTTCCTGAACTGCACCCCGAGTGTGGCCTCCCCTTTACGTTTACCTGGAAATTTTGGAAGTCCGTTAAGATGAGGTTCGACGGCCTGAGCATAACTCATTTGCCGCTTCTACTGCAAATCAGTTGGAGTGTCCTTTGGGAGATTATCGATAGAGCTGAACCCATGTCCAACTCCATGTCAGAAGGAACCCCATACAACTTGACTTTGAGGTGTAACTTCTTCTTGAGTGGGCAATGGGCGCCTGTCCTACACACGCTCCTTCTACTCGCGCAAAAACCCACCCTGTTTTGACTGGGAACCCCGGTACCTTTCCGAGGCAACTCTTCTCATGAATATTGTTTTCTGCGACCCAAACAAACAGCAGCGATGTGGCCTTGTTTGCCACATGCCCGGCAAGTTGCTGTGTGGAACCGGGTGTGATGGCCTCCACACCCGATGCAATGAGAGAAGGGAACTGCCTTGTCAGGTTGCCGTTGAGGCCTTCTCTCTGGAGGTTGCTGCAACCGATCGACTTTGTGGTCCAATTCGGAGTCTTCAACCCTCTCGGCGTCCTCTTGGTGGACAGTTTCCGAGCAAGGAGGGTTCTTGGAGAACTGCAAGGCCTTAGCAGCTCCACCTGCTGCTTCTTTGGCCATTATCTCTCTCAACACATCTTGAAAAGAGACGGTCCCTTTAGCAAAGATCTTCTGTTGAGGTTCGCGGCTCCTAAGACCACAAACTAAGCAGTCCCGCAGCCTTTCTTCAAGGTCCTTGAATTCGCAAGTCCTTGCAGCTTGGCAAAGAGCAGCTATGAAATTGGCGGCGGACTTGCCGGGATGCTGGTCTCGCTGTTCAAAGGCATGTCGCCAAGCAATGACCGAAAGCTTGGGCTCAAAGTGCTCCTTGAGCATTTTTTTTTCAGTTCTGCATATGCAATGGACTTAAGCAGCGCTGGTGCAACCAAGTTCTCTGCGATGTCGAATGTTGCTTGACCGCAAACACACAGCAGTGTCATGGCCTTCAATCCATCTTCCCAAACTTGGTTAACTCGCAGGTAGTTTTCAACCCTTGCGACATAGGAGCTTCACCTCTCTGGATGAGCGACGTCGAATTCTGAGAGTCGACCTATCTTCACCATGGTGAGTCTTTGGCGGCCTTTTCAATGCCTCAATGCAATGAGGCATTGGGGACTTCCAGGGCGGATCCTTGGAAGCACTCTCCTCCAGCGTTTTCGTACTGGCAGGATAGAGTGAGTGGGGGTTGGAACGCCATTCCGACCAAGTGCTTGCTAGGCCCTTTCCCCGTAGTGATTCAGCTTGTCAAATTTCGGCAGCACGATCCCACCTTCATTGCCAATGTTCTGTTTTCTGCTTGGTTCAGCATTGAAGAGGCAGCAATAGAAACAAGTACTTCTTTATTCAAGGTCAAAACAGAAAACTAACAAACATGGCTCCGCCCATATTTATACATTCAGCTTTGGGCAGCCTCAGCCAATGAATGCACCATATTCTCCCGCTCAAATGCATACTAATCAGTCTTGTAGATGGCAAGTCTAGCTAGCAGGTCTGCTAATGGTCCCTGCACAGATCTCTGCAACTGTTCCATAGTTTAACTCAATACATTACACGATAGTTTGAACATTCTTTGGCATTGCCTTTCTTTGGAATTGGAATGTAAACTGACCTTTTCCAATCCTGTGGCCACTGTTGAATTTTCCAAATTTGCTGGCAAATTGAATGTAGCACTTTTACTGCATCATCTTTTAAGATTTTGAATAGCTCAGCTGGAATATTGTCACCTCCACTAGCTTTGTTGTTGCTCAGATTTCCTAAGGCCCATTTCACTTCACATTCTAGGATGTCTGGCTCGAGGTCAGTGACCACCCCATCGTGGTTATCTGGGACGTTAAGCTCATTCTTGTATAGTTCTTCTGTGTAATTTTGCCATCTCTTCTTAATCTCTTCTGCCTCTGTTAGGTCCCTGCCATTTTGGTCCTTTATCATGCCCATCTTTGCATGAAACGTTCCCTTCATATCTCCAATTTTCTTGAAGAGATCTCTGGTCCTCCCTATTCTGTTGTTTTCTTCTATTTCTTTGCACTGTTCATTTAAAAGGGCATTCTTATCTCTTCTAGCTATTCTCTGGAATTCTGCATTCAACTGGGTGTATCTTTCTCTTTCTCCCTTGCTTTTCGCTTCCCTTCTTTCCTCAGCTATTTGCAAAGCTTCCTCAGACAGCCATTTTGCTTTCTTGCATTCCTTTTTCTTTGGGATGGTTTTAGTTGCTAC